TTTTTTATAAAATGGAGTACTACTCAGCCGTAAAGAATGAAAAACTAGAGTCATTTATAGCTAAATGGATGCATATCGAGGCCATACTCTTAAGTGAAATAAATAGGACACACATGTGTAAATACTGAATAGTTTCTCTAGTGTGAGAAACTGATATTGTAAATAAGGGTTAAATGATTAAAATGAATAATTGATAATTTGAAATACAAAAAAAGGTCCAAAGACATAGGGTTGAAGGGAAGGGAAGGGGAAAGGGAAGAAGGGAAAGGAAAAATTATGAGAAAAGAAAAAAAAATAGAAATGATGTCTATGTAAATAGGGAAGGGTGGAGGGGGTGAAGGGCGCACAGGGAATGGGGAAAAAATAAGAATCAAGATACATCATGTACAGGTACAAGCACTCAATGATAAATGTAAACTTATTGTATACCTAAAATATACCAATAAAAGAACTTAGAAAAAAAAAGTGCCCCGATGGGACATGCACACCAGACATTGAAAATGTAAATAGAGAACATAGCACACCTGGTAGGTTGACTTACTGAAGTTATAACATTTTATGTACAGTGACTATGAATACAGATGCCCCTCCGTATCTGTAGGCTCTGTATCTGTGAATTTAGCCAACCTCAGGTCAGAAACAATGAGGAAAACACTGTGTCTGAACTGAAGATGTACTGACCTTTTCTTGATCATTATTCCCCAAACAATCTAAAATAACAACTATTTACACAGTATTAATGTTGTATAAGGTATTATAAGTAGCCTAGAGATGATTTAACGTACACAGGAGGATGTGGGTATATTATATAAAATACCACACCCTTTTACCCAGGGGACTGGATCATCTGAGGACTGTGGTAATCCATAAGGGGACTGGAACATCTGGTGATCCTGGAACCAACCTCTCTTGGGTACTAAGAAAGGCTTATACTATTAACGACATGGTACAGCCATTTAGCAGTTCCCCAAAACGTTAAACAGAACTGCCATATGACCCAGCCATTTCACTCCTAGGTGTATAGTCAAAAGAATGGAAAGCAGGTGCTTATAGGCTTGTACACTAATCTTCACAGTGGTGCCATTCATTAAGCTAAACGGGAGAAACAAGCCAGCATGGTGGCATGTGTCTGCAATTTACAGCACTTTCGGAGACTGAGGTGGGGCTATCACAAATTCATGAGACCAAGACTTAAAATATAAAAGGGGTGGAGATGTAGCTCAATGTAAAAGTCCAGGGTTTAATCCCTAGTATTGGTGGGGGGGGGGGAGTAGAAACAACCCCAAAGTCTATTAAGTGATGAACAGATAAACTGTGCTCTATCTGTACAGTGAAATGTCAGCCATGAAAAGGTTCTGATGCATATTACAGTGTGGATGAACCTTGAAAACAGTGTACTAAATGACAGAGCCAGACCCAAAGGCCATATCTTGTATGATTCCACTTATGTGAAACATCAAGAACAGGCAAATTCACAGAGACAGCAGGCAGGTCAGCAGTTGCCAGGGACCAGGGAGAGGGAGAAATGGAAGGGATGCTTCATGGGAACAGTTTCCTTTAGGGTTGATGAAAATATTCTGGGGCCAGATAGAGACAGTGACCGGAATGCCTCATGAATGTACCAATCATCACTGAATTGTTTACTTTAAAATGGTCTTAAGAGTTGCGCATGTGGTGGTGCATGCCTGTAATCCCAGCACTTGGGAGGCTGAAGCAGGAGGATCGCTGAAAGTTCGAGGCCAGCCTGGGCTACAGAGTGTGTTCAAGGCCAGCCTGAACTACATGGTATGACCCTGTCTCAAAAAACAAACAAACAAAACAAGAACAACAAAAACAACCGATGGCCACGAGAGTAAATATATCATGTGTATTTTATCACAATAAAAAATTAAGTAAATATAAATTACCTGCATCTGTTTCTTTCTACTTCATAAAATATGACTACAAAATTTAAAATTACATTGGTGACTCACCTATTTTTATTGAACAATGGTAATTTGGAGAGGTTCTCTGGGTTCATCTTGCTTAATTTCCTCAATTAATTTTCTTTTAAGTGTTTCTCTTTCCTACTTCCGGTTTTGTGGAAGGCTGAATGAATCCCAAAGGTACTCTGGGTTCTGGTTCTGACTTCTCCCAGTGAGAATGATTACAGATGAATATTCCTTTAAAAAGATGAGTTCATCAATCCATCTGTCCCATGCAATTGATTACCTTGTAAACATCACAGATCACATTCAAATACCCAGAAAAAAGATTAGGGTGGATGCAGATAGGAAGTACCCAGGGAGAAGACACCTGTGCACCCCACATCTGCCCACCACCTGCCTGAAGGCCCAGCACTGGGCTTCCCTGTGGGCACTGGGCAGGGGGCACCCAGCTTTCCAGAGGCAGCAGTTTGGGTCTTGCAGAGGCCCCTGGCCCGTCCTCTCCTGGCCCTAATCCTGACATTCCTCTCCAATGGAAAGCCTTGGCCGAGCCTCAAGTCCTCATGGGTGGCTAGCAGCCTGAATGAGAGAGCAGACACCCTGAGGGTGGTGTGCTTTTATCTCTTCCCCTCTATGGAAGGGGTTGAAAGAAAACTGGCAAAATTCTGTGCCCAAAGTTAACTCTGGGGAAGAATTACTAGTTGGAGTTGCTGTTGTCAGTGATCAGCAGGGTTGAAGTGACTCATACACACCCACCAAAGAATTTTTTTAAACCTGCACCAGGTGTGGTGGTCCACATACCTGTAATCCCAGCTCTGTGGGAGCCTGAGGCAGGAGGATTGAGCCCAGCCTCAGCATTTTAGGGTCTCGCCAAGACTCTGTCTCAAAACGAAAATACAGGGGGGAATAAGAGGGCTGGGGATGTATCTCAGTGGGGGACCCTGGATTCAGTGCCCAATACCACTAAGAAAAAGAAGAAAGAAATCCTGAGGTTTCTTTTATTTGCTTTATCAGTTGACCCATTCCTGCAGTAGTACCTGTTTAGAATGAAACTCTGAATTTCTCTGTCAGCCTAGCTTAGAGCTGGTATCCTATCAGACTGCAGGTTGTGTCTCAATAACACAAGCAGAAGGAGAACATTGTAAAGTTTTTGGTACTTACAGACCCTGGGGTGCTCAGCAGCCTTGAGTGAAGCAGAGAGAGAGGGAAAGCAGAAAGCAGCAAGCTGTAATATATACTGGGAGGCACCACGTGGGTCTCTTCAAGTTGGCGGGTAAATGCCTGAGTGATTCATTTAAAGAAAGCTGCAGCAAAGCCCAGAGAGACGCCTTTTTTTTATCTCTGGCCACCTTTCTGGGGAACTAGGGTGTGGTGTAAGAATTGGAAATTGCATAATTGGTCAATTCCATAATTGCTCTTGGGAGGAGAGTCCAGTTTATGTTACAATAGATGCTGGGGCTGCATCAGACTACAACAGTACTAGCTTTTTAAAACTAATGGTTATGTGTTTTTATCTATCACAACGGACAAACTCTATTCCTATGCTTGCTTCCAATTTCTCTTATTTTTCAGGATCTTCATGGATATTTATTCGTGCCTTGCTGCCAGCAAACCTTTTTTTCTAGATTTTGTTTTGTTTTATTTTTTTGAGACAGGGTCTAGCTATGTAGCCCAGGCTAGCTTTGAACTCATGGTGATCCTCCTGCCTCAGCCTCCTGAGTGCTGGGATTACAGGCCTGTGCCACCATCCTGGCTTTTTCCAGATTTTTTTGAGATAATCCCTGAAAAGTAAAAATTATATCCATTTGAGATAGAAATGGGATGTCTTAACATACATAGAAACACAGAGTTGACCTTTTCTTTGAATTCTGCCCTCTCTCTGCCTTTTTGTTTTCCTCTCTCCCCTTTTGCTCCCCCCTTCCTTCTGCTGCTTGAGGTAGCAAACAGAACAAGGACAAGACTATGTCAAAGTATCAGAAAACCAATAAACAAAGGTCACCCTATCCCTTCCCCAAACCCCAAGCATACTCAAAATCAAAAGTACATGATCCTGGCCTTCCTCCAACCTCATTGCATTGTGGTATTGACCTCCCACCTGGTGGGCTTTGGATGCCATGACACTTCCTCTAAAATCCCATAAGATCAAAAGCTCCCCCTGTCAGTGGTGGGCTGAGTCAGGTGTTCCTTTTGGGCAGTGATTCCCAGCAATCCCCGGGTACAGATCCTCCCATAACCCCAGACCTTGAGAGACCAGCACCTGCCTCTCTGGGGGCAGTGAGTTCTTCTCGCTGGCCTGCCCCCCACCCCTGTGCATTCACTTCATTTACTTCTTTCACCTACACTTATTAGTCCATTTAGAATAAATCTTATTCTTCCTCCTCTTGGGTGTCCTGCTCAATGCTTTGTTCAGGATCCCAAGAACCTGGAACCGACTCCCCTCGGATTCCCCATCTGGTGACACTGATGTGCCCCTGTTAATCACCTCTCATATTTCTCTCTTTCTCTCTTGTGTTCCCTTTATCTCTGCCTCACCTCTCGCACTGTCTCTCCTCTCTCCTCCTTTTTCTTCACTCTTTTTCTTTTTTTTTCCTTTTAATTTTATGCTATAAGGGATTGAACCTAGGGCCTTTGCCCCTGGCTTTTAAAAGACAGAATCTTGCCATGTTGCTAAGTTCCTGAGGCTGACTCCAACTTCCATCCTCTTGCCCAGCCTCCCGGAGTGCTGGGGTTAGTTCATGTGCTACCATACCCAGCTGAATTTTTTACTTAACTATGTTCCTCATTTTCACTCTCTTGGCAACACTCTCAACACCTGTTTCCTTCCTCCCTCCTTTTTTCCCTTTTCCCTCCCTGCTCTCATATCCCCTGTATCTATCTGTGCAGAATGGAGTCCTGAGAATAAGTGAGCCTGGAGTTGGAAGCTTGACACATGGATATTTGCCCAGCAGTTACCAACCACGAGAAGCTGCAACCTTGTCTTTGGGTCACAGTTCCCTCTGCTCTAGATTGGGGATGAAAGTGGCTGCAGTCCACGAATGGAGTAATGGGGAACCTTACCTGTCCAGAAGACAATCAGCCTGGAATGAAGAAGCTTCAATATAACTTCCCTCACCTGCACCTTCACCAAATTCCCTTTCTTTCACTTTTATTCATCTACTGTTCCCCTCTTTCCTCTTCATTCACTTTCCCATTTTCTCTCTTCCTTTCTCCTCCCAACTCTGGCCCAAACTTGGCACCTAAATAATGATTTGCATTAACAGCAAAAAGTATAGCTTCTTACTAATTTTTGCGGATCATAGTTACTTGTCAGGGTTGCGGGGTCCTTGTGTGTAAAAGAAGATAAATAATAGCACTGCCTCTTGGGAAAACATCCAAAGTGCTTAGAACTTGCCTCACACATAGGAAGTGCCATCCAAATGTTACCTATCTTTGTGCAAAAGTTTCCCTGGGAAAGTCATAATGAGACATCTGTCTCCAAGTGGAGAGGGCACCAACTTTCCAAAGAATGATTAGATATCTCAAAGAATAACCTGGACAGCCCAGCTTGGAGAGTGAATGAGTTTATTCGTTTATTAGGGGTTACAGAGTGGCAAAGGTCTAATGGGCTGCAGTCCTGCTGAAGTCACCACTACCCATTTGTTAGGCTACTGTTTTTATGAGGTTGTAAGTGAAACAGAAAAAGGCAGGATCGAAGATAAGAAGTGTTCTTAGGAAAAGTTCTGTGTACTTTTTTCCCACCTCACCCTTATTAGTAATTCTGCTTGCTTGAGCAAGCGCAGTGGTGCATGCCTTTGCTGTGCCCCAGAGTGGCACACAGTCTCAGCAAGGGGCTGGAGCTCTTGGGGTAACTAAGTAGCGAGCGACTACAAAATAGAGTTACTCTGACTAGGGTTCCCTACAGCCTTATCAGTTAATATTACCTGGTGGTAAAAATCAAACAGGACAAAGAGACGATGGTGAAATTTTTTCTCTCCTACTCTTGTCATAGGGCTCATTCTCTCCATAGAAACAACCTCTTTTGGTTTCCTTTCGTCCTTCAAAAGTTAAGGTACACAAGTAAGTAATCAGACATATTGAGTGCATATGTGTGTGTGTGCCCAGTAGTGTGCTGGTACACATTTAACAACTGGCTTTCTGGAGTGGAACGGAGACCCTAACATGGAGCAACTGCCAGTTTCCTGGTGGGTGTCAATATTCCCACCAAGGTTGATTTCAAGCTATCAACATGATATCAGTGTGTGTGGAGTTGGGATGAGGTAGATAATTAGCTACTGCACAGCACTGAAAATACATATGTACAGACACACATCCACACATATACATACATGTTTATATGATTTGCATTATGTATACATGTACATGTATGTATATGTGTATATATGTATATACATATATGTAATGTGTACATATGTATACCTATTTGTTTATAGGAAAAGCAGCAAAAATGGCTTTGATGATGAAGGGAGTCAATGATAAGGGTAGCCTCCAGGGGCTCTGATGTTAGCCCAGTGAAACCTATGTGACTTCTGACCTTCAGAACTGAGAATAAATGTGTTGGTTTGAGCCACTCTCCAAAAAAAAGTGGCAAAAGATCTACAGCATTACTTTACTTTACTTCATGTTATAACATATATATCTTTTCCTATAATACTTCCAGAGACTCTATTGTTTTTCTCTACTGCTTAGTATATGTCATCATACAGATATGCCATCATTTGGCAAGCCAGTTTCTGACTGATAGATAATTAAGAAGGGCTTCCTGGCCTGGCTTAGATCACAGCTTCTCTATCCTCCAGCACTGGTGCCACGGAGAGATGTGCACTCCTTTCAGAGGAGCAGAGCCTCAGACCCTTCCAGAAGCCTAGTGGGAATTCACTCAGTAAATCAGGCTGGAGTCCCCTTATATAGTTATCAGAGGCTAGTTTTAATGGTTTCTCAAGAACTGAGAATAAGGCCAGCATCTTGAGAGGTTGTACAGCTTTCTTTTTCCCTCTTTATCAGCCTTTTGATTTGCAAGATTTTAGATATGTCCTAATGGTATCCCTTGGTATGAATGACAGTGACTTGTCTGGAAAGATGAACTGCCTGCAGGGGCTGTAGAATTTCTTGTTTGTGCTTTATACATGGTTGTTATTTAACAAGACTTTTTCCTTCCACATCACTACATGGGCATGTAGCACCAGAAAGGCATATTTGAAATATATATAAATATTCAGCCTCTTGTCTTTTCCTAATAT